AGGTCAAGCTGTAGGGATTGCAGCAAAGTCCTTTTTGGTGGGCACAGACGGACGGCCTTTGCTCCCCCCCCCCTCCTCGCCGCTCCTAAAACCAAACAGACGTGGAGGAAAAACAGCCGAAGGCGAAATCTCATCGGTTTTTTTTTTTACCCCAAGTCGCTCGTATTTGTTTTTGGTACTAGCGGCGCTTGAAATATTGTCATTGCTTATGTAAAGCTGTCTGCTTCGGACAAAAAATCCGGTTTTGGTAAAAAAAAGAATCAAGCAACTGAAATACAACATTCCACTCCACGTGGACTTTTGGAGTTGGATAGCTCGCGTAAATAATAACGAGCACAGCACGGCAAAATTAACTGCATACTTCTTCTTGTACGTATGTACGTTGAACTTTTTTCGCACCGTACGTAGCCAACCAGAGCTGCTTTTTGGAACGGCAAAACAAATGGCATAAATCGGTGTCTGGGATCTTTGGCCGTTCAGTGGCTCTGGCTGTGAGCCGACGCGCGGCTTCGATGCCACGGCCCCACCACGGTCTCGACGTGCGGTCAGCAGCATCAGCAGCAGCAGCAGGTGACCACGTGCTCCACCGGTCGTTCCGCCCGTGCAGTCGCAGGTGGGGACTGTCTCCTGCCTTCCGCTCGCGGAGGAGACGAGCGCATCGGTCCGTGCGGCGATGTCCGAATGCGAAGATTTAACCGTGGTCCAGAGTTTAACGGGGGGGAGGGGGGCAAGAGAAGGAGACGCCAGGGAAGGGGGGGGGGGTCTGTTGAGTCACAGATGCGGTCTTTGTCGGTCACTCGTGTTCCCCTCCGTTCCGTTCGCCATCTCTCCACAAGGTGCAACGCTGTGGCCGGGGTTTTGAATCACTGACCAGAAAGGGTGACGTGGGGCGGGAGGGGGGACCGAGTTCGTGATGAATCGTCAGTTCAGCGTTTGACGAGGCCCCGTCAGATCCCCGACGGTGATGCCGCTGTTCGGCAAACGTGGGGTAGGGGGGGGTGCTCGACAGCGCGGTGGGAGCCGCGGAGATGTTTGCGGTGATTTCAGGGCGCCCGCGATCTGACGCACCGCCGTGTTGGGTCGCGCGTCCACGATCTCCGCTCGCTCGCTGCGACCCCCCGCACCGAGGAGCAAGGCTCGGCTGCGGAATATTCGAGGAAGAGAGTGGGAGAGAGAAAGAGAGAGAGAAGTGGTCGTTATCCTAATAAATGGAGGAGCCGCTGCCCAGATTTTTAACGACGAGTTTTTGGACGATGTTTGTCCTCGATTTAATCTCGGCGATCATCGTCCAGAGCCGTTGTCGAAAAGTTCGGCTCCTATCGAGTGTGATATGCCGAAAGCGGCTTTCGTGGTATCTCTGTGCGCGTCGATTGATGAGGTTGAAGGTTGAGGAGTTTCTCCGGGTGAGAACGCAGGTGCCTCTTCTCGCCAGAGGCCACCGTTTTCCGGTATTCGAGTTGCTTCGACGTATGGCAGACCGGTGCTGTGTCCAGCCAATGCCACATCGTCGGTGTGTCATTTTCACGAGGATGTCAAGGGCGTAGGTCGCGAGTGTGCATGTGTTGCAAAGTGACGTCGCGAGCATATCGCTGTGAATGTCGCGGCGAGTTCACTTCGAGTTTGTGACGGCTGTTTTGACTCTCCCGATTGACTGCGGATCGGTGCTCCCAATCATGCTTTTACACGTCCTCGTTCGTGGTGCGAAGGGGAGATCCATGGCCTTCACCGAGCTTGTCCGAGCCTCAGAGAGCCACAGTAAAGCACCAGAGATGAAATCAGACGTAGGCGGAATGCAAACTCATCACGTACGCGTGCAGCGCACTATTTCATTAACTGTCTTGCATAATGATTCACCACGGCATTCGAGTCTGCGCCTGTGTACGCTCGCAACGTTTTCCCGATTGCCGTCACAAGCGGGGCCTGTGCCACTAGATGGCACCAATCACACAAGTCAATGCTTGTTTTCACCCTGAGCGCCGACAATCCTTGCAGCCAATCAAATAAGCCTCACTGTGCCAATGTGCATTCATCAGCAACAAGAAGGGACCATTACTTGCCAAGAACAACCTTTGCATGACAACACACATTAAGCTCAACATTTTTAACGACATGGGGTAAATTACAATCAACGCAAAGGGTCTCTGCTCAAAGGAGAATGAAAGGCATCATTTATTTCCAACCGTGGCCCTGAATTAGTGGTGGGAATTCCACATTTCCTCGGCTGAGGTCAGTCTTCCTCTAGGATGATGATGATGATACAGTAATACCTCGGTTTACGTCGGGGATGAGTTCCTTGGAAGGTGCGACGACGAATATCGAAACGACGTGAATCAAAGCAATTTACAGGGTAGGCGGAGAAGGCTGGGGCAACGGATACGAGAAAGGACGGATGACGATGTGAGCTACGTCTGTGTGGGTGTTGAGGCGACGAAACTAAGGCAGTGGTATGAATTGACGTCATACAGGCAGTCCCTGAATTACCAACGCCCGAGTTACGAGCATCCGCACTTGAGTAACAAGCTTCCATAAGATGTCTATTTTTAAATCCTTTATATTAAGTTCGCGTGCTTGCTTGCTTGCTTGCGTGCTTGCTTGCTTGCTTGCGTGCTTGCTTGCTTGCTTAGGACCGTGCAAATCTTTCGGTCGTTTTTTAACCCACTTCCCGTGATCCAATCGAGCTGACATTTTCCACACAGACTCGTTGTGCCAGACAATTATTGTCCGTGAAAAAAAATTCCCCAAATTTTACACTTTTTAGGCAAAAAAAAATGTATTTTACATATATTCAAATAGAACGCATTCATGGCTTTGGCTGAACGTCATAGTGTAAGAGCCCAGAGCGTAACCCCTCCACAGGCCGTGGCGGAGTAGCGCAGTTGGTAGCGCCCTCGCTTCCCATGCCAAGGGTCGCGGGATCGATCCCCGCGTCCTCCACAGGCGAATATATTGTTAAATCCTTTATATTAAGTTCGCTGCCACGCATATAAAGGATTTATAGTGAGAAACTTTGCTTTAACGGGTTATACTTATTAACCATGTGACTTGTGAACGTCAACTCGCGCTTGCGAACCAAACCGTGGAACTATTTGTTTAGACAAATGTACAATATTCTCTGATTTATTAGTTTACACGATTCCCTTTTTTGTTAAACTGTAACACATTTCATAACAACTCAAAGCTTTCGTGACTGCAGGAATTCATATTCTTGGGTCTTTCGGTAAAGTCACGTAGATAGGTTCAAAGAAAATATTTTCTTTTCTTTGAACCTATCTACGTGATTTTACCGAAAGACCCAAGACAATACATTTCATAACACTGATCATACGTGCAGTTAAATACAGTACATTTGTGTGTTCCGTATAACGAACCGTTTGACCTACGCACGGGTCTCAGGAATGGAACCCGTTCATAAGTGGGGGATTGCCCGCATAGAGTGCAAGCCGTTAGAAGGGCGCTGACCACCGTTGACCCGGTCGTCCGAGTTCGATTCCCAGCCACAGCTAACATCAGTGTCAAGTGGCGCTCTGAAGTCCTTTATTGGGTCTGCTTACGCCTTATAAAAACGTAAACAATAAGTCATATCTAATCTGGTCCTGGTCTCCTCCACCTAATGGCCAGCGTGGTTAACTACGGTCAAACAACGTGCATGACCGGCAGGTTTTGGCAAGGCATTCATCCGGCAGTGAATTGACAAAAGGCTGTAAATGTTCAATGAAATATTTATTTGAGCTCGCTAGAACTGCAGACTCACGTCGACCGTCAAACCAGGAACTGACATCTACCAGCTTGCAACTGCAAGTCGAGAAAGCTGACCAGAGCGCCACTCACAGTCAAATCAACCGCGTTATCAAGATCGTGGCAGACGCGAGAAGAAGCCACGGCGCGCGGGTGCAATGGCCTCGTGGCGGTGGGCATGTCCACCCCTCTGTCAAAGGCAGACTGTGCATAGCTGCCGCCTACCATGCGCCAACGGGGCCCGGCGTGGCTAATTACAGCTTCCCAGCTCCGCCAGGAGCCACAAATTACAGCTCGCCGCTCAACTGTGAAACGCGGCGACGTTTAAGGCAAAAATGCTACTAAGGGCCCCCCACACCCCCCGCCCCCCCCTAAACAAGAAAGCGCGTCCCACTCTCTCCCCGCGCCTCTCTGATGTTGCGTCTCGCTCGCCCATCACGGGCGAACGTCGCTGGCGGCGACCGAGGCATAACTCGTGTGACGCAATTATTTACTTACTGACCGGCTGACTTGACATTTAAGGGGCGGCTTTTAACCAAAGACCCGGCAGCAGCAGCAGCAATATGTTCACTTCGCGAGAATGAAGTGTTATTGTAACAAACCAAAGCAAAAAGCTAAAGCATTCTGCCGATTAATGTTACAGGGTGGATTCATGCAGATACCCCACTGATTTCAAACGACCGTCAACTTTTTTACTCAACTGAGTGAATATTGCGAGAGATAACGCCACGTCTTACGGGCAAGTGAAACGATTTAATACGTACAATGAGATTTGTAGACGTACAGAGGCTTTGAGAATACATTCTTTCTCAACAATATATTCCTTTTGTGAGGTATCTATAAATGGATCGCCATTTTTTTTTTCACACACGCGTGTATTGTTGTCATACTAGTTGGTTTGCCCGTCCTAGGACGGAAGCTGTAATATTTACGAAAAAATTGAGCAGAGTATAATTACAACAGTCTGCCTCAGCAGCAGACCATGCTTCCCACCTGACGATGGACGCTTGTGTTGCGCCCGAAACGTCGTTATTTATTTTATACCTACGTGACTTTACCGAAAGAACCAAAGAATATGGATTCCTGCAGTCACGAAAGCTTCAAATCAAGATTCAGAGTATAATTGTATCTTGTGTAAATTTAATGACAGTGAATCTTGCACAAAAGTATGTCATCAAACATTTCACTGCATTTCAATGTAGCACTGTAAATAACTGACCTTCAATTTGTCTCAAGTGCTGAAGAAATAAAGACACCAAATCCACTTTGTTGCTGTGTAGAATTATTTATTAGATTCACTTCCAATAAAGAAACGTCAAACTTAAAGCGAATTTGCGAAAGAAAAATAATTTCCGCTCGACCTTCTGCGTAAGTGTAAAAATCCACCCGCTCATGAATATTAATGAGGGGGGGTGCGGCATGTGGAGTGACGTCACGCGCGTTACACACAGACATTCTTGGCTCATCACAGTAGTGATAGTTTTCACATTTGCTGGAAGTTCTGAGGAATATTGACACAACTAGTCGTTTCCACAAGTGATTAAAATGAGGATTTGCGAAATCACTACTTAGCTGCTTTAACACGTGCGTAACCGCTTCAGGTTTACGCGTGGGGGGGGGGGGTGTTTGTTAAATGTCAGCTTTTGGCTTTGGAAACTCGTGTATCACCTTTATGCCAGCATAGCGCACGGCAGCGATAGAAAAAAACAGGTGAGAGCGACCGACGTTGCTATAGTATCTGTTTACCAAAATACTGGACCTCTGCTGAGTGACAGGGCCATGATTTTTTTTTAACACCACCCACACACCACCACCCACACAGGTGTACATGCACCCCAGGCACTTCCGCAGCTGCATTTTTTATGTTCCTATGAGAAATTAAACTTAAATTTCGATTTAAAGCTTTCGTGACTGCAGGGATTCATCTTCTTGGTTCTGAAACGTCGTGAGAATTATTTTATTATGTTTTATTTTTATTATTTTATTACTTCCCTTCTACGTGACTTTACCGAAAGAACCAAGAAGATGAATCCCTGCAGTCACGAAAGCTTTAAATCGAGAAGATGGAATTAAACTTGTTATGAAATGTAATTGCAAGCCACAATTCCGTGCCTTAAAAGCAATCTGTGAAAGAGCTTCATAGCTCATCGGATTCCTCCAGTTTAAATACATATTGTGATTCTGAAAAGCAAAGGCGCTACCCTGCAATTGCTTGCTCGCACTCCTGCTGGCGAAAGGGCCTCCACTATAGGCAGCCCCTCTCAAGGGTATTGTGGGCTACTTCTCCACGCTTGCTCCCCATGTCTTGGTTGAGGTGGCAGTTCCCACATTTTACCCCACCGCCACCTGTGCCCATTATACTGTTGGGTGGACAGATGAGGGGGGGGGGTTGGAGAATTTAGGAAACTTGCACCATTGTTTTAACTGCGGCTGACGGGACATTGTACCAGCAACCTTCTGTAGTTACATTGTAGTTACAGTGTGATAACCGTAACACAACAGCAGCATTAACTAGTCATTACTGACCATAAAACACACCTAACTCAATCCATAAACTCAGATACACTCCACAATGACGCAAATTATCATTGTGACGTGGATAAAAACAAAACCCTTGCGTCGAATCAGGAGCCATACGTCCTTGCCTATACAAATTAGGCAGTCCATCAGCATTCGTCTAAGCAAGCTTGACTGCTGACACTGCATTCCAAGAGTTCTCGTATTAAACCAATGTTGTTGGGAGGGGAAATAATGCTCCCAGAAGGCAGTGGTGGCTGATGGGATGCGTTAAAAAAATTAGCGGCGTATTGACTGTATTTATTTGATCTCAATCCAGATGCAGAGGCAACGTGGCTTCCTGCACGAGCCCATTTTGTAACACAAAACGGCCAACGGAGATGCCACTTCGGTGCGGAAGCTACAGGTCCTCGGTAATTATCAACGTCTACGTTTTGCCATTCCTATTACGATTCGCCTGGCCCGGCGCAACAATGGCAAATCCCACGCGTCACTGCACTGCATTGGAAATGGCTCCCTCTGACGCAAAACGCACTCAACAATAGCATCCATTCTTCGGAGACAGGGAGAGCACGGAACGCCCCAAAACATGGAGGCAACATCGTAAATAAAACAAAAACCCAGCAACAAGCAACGGTGTACGTGTCAAGACAGCATCACAATCCTCGTAAGGCACAGTGCACTGCTTTGAATGTAATCTTTGGCACTAGGGGAAAATATATATCAGACAAGCCTAACCCAATGACCATATAATTGATTCTGCAACCATGGAAGGATATAGGGTTAACTAAAGGAAGCAACCAATGCTATGCTTCTATGGGAATATGCTTATTTTTTACAACTGAGGGCACCGTCTTAGGTTTAATTGGCAAAAGACATTTTGAACATTTGATCTTCAAAGCAAAATGCTCAAAACGTCCATAAAAAAATATTCAGTGCGTCTCTTTAAATACCAGATTATATGGACACGTTGCAATGTCATCGCCGAACCAGATCCTGCATTGCATTGAGTTGGGAGTCCAATTATATTAGGTGAATAGTTGCAACTGAGCCATTTTAGATATTAATGTAGGGCAGCGGGTGTCACGTGGATTGGTCGGATCCAATTGAATAAGTCTGTACTGAAACATGAAAAAATATACCCACCACTCGCTACATAATTCACTTATTTTTGTCTGTATTTTTGACAACTGTGCTTTAGATGGTCCCAAAGTCAACACAATGGTTTGTGGTGTGTTTTATGATCAAACGTATGAAATGCTAAGCTACCAAAGAGACACGGCACTTCAGCTTGTTTTCATTAGAATGTGCATTTATAAGTTCGTGAGAACAGATCACGTTCGTGACAAAGGAGATCAAATCAGTGAGAAAAGTGGCTTCGCCATACACAACGGATGCTTTAAGGTTAACGCCGCTGTGGACTTTCAAGAGATTCTGGAAGAATGCAGGAGGTACAATAACCATTTATAAAAATGGGAAATGTTTGTTAGGCTGGAATGCCAGCAGCTGAATACTGGGCGAATCATTGTTCAGATAACCCTCCGCAAGGGTTAAAACTGCTTGATATATTTCCATAACGAACCTCAGTGCATTGTTTCCGATGTCAACTGCATTCATAAAGATGCCCATTAAGAACTTGAGGTTACAGAGTGATCACAAACAATAATTTTAACAGAACATTTATATATTGCTTGAAGAAACCTACAAGGTGCTTCCGTGTTTTACATTCAGAACATATTGATTAGATATACCGTGACGAAAAGGAAGACAAAAATCGGAACATTTTAAGATTAAAACACAAACTCTTCAACTGTAAAGATTTTGTAGCAGATGAAATGGACACAACAATAAAACACATTCACTGCAAGCGGCCATGGGCAACGTGAAGCCTTGATCTTCTGCAACCGTGGCTTTGTGAGTTGTTGTACAGCATTCAAGGCAGACGCCACCCATAGAAAATAAAAAATAAACTGAGAAGTACCTTTCTATGCATTAAGATGGAGCAATGAGGCCTACATTTCTTAGTCTCCCAAACCAAGGCAGCTTATAAAGGAACGTCCTTTGGATGGAAAACAAGGCAGCCAGACCTTAACACGCTTGCACTTAGTACGAGCTCACAAGTGCAAGTCTGAACAGCACACACATTTTTACAATTTTCTCCAGCAGGCCTCTGTGGTCCGCGCGTTCTCAAGTGCGTAATGACCCTGTCTTCAGCATACATTTGCAACTTCTGCGCGTCCAGTTTTAAGTGCAACGGACACACAGATGCTGGCGCGCGGGGGGACTCGCAAGCTAAATGAATTTGCCGGAATACATTTTTACTAAAACAATGAAACGGACTCACAATTACATTCAAATTGTGCTGAAATAAAATATCAGCTGCATTGTGTGCAATATTACTGTACGTACCACACTAGGCATTGTTAGACGGAAGTTTCTTCTGCCATGAGTCAAATCACTATTTTGGCTGACCCAATAAAGCCAAGTTGTGCGGTTATTAGACAAAAACACAGCAGCAGAGGATAATTCCATCAATGCCAAGGACAAAACGCGCAAACACACCGACCGGTCTGAGTAGGAAAAAAAAGTTTATAATTTTTTCACATATGGTTACCACTCTGTTTTCTGTTCTCGAGTAAAATACATTCTCATTAGAATTTGAATTGCTTACAAACCTTTACCATCAGAACTTGTGCAAAAAATTAATCCCAGGCTCTTAAAACGACAGCATTCTGCACAGTTAACAGAGGTAAGATCACGATAGCAGATTGCAGAGCGGATCCCAACAGCTGGTCGAATAGATGTGACAGGCATGGGACAGGTTCACCTGTACTCACAAGATAAATCATTCAAGGGTTTTTACTGTAGGTGGAAATATCCACTGATATAAAGTGTCTCAAACAAACGAATGCTCTAGTACATCAAGAATTTCTAGTTGCAATTGGCTGCTGAAATAATTGCATGGCTGGTCACCAAAGATTGACTAAAGATGGATAAACCACCATGGGAACCAGTTGGCAAAGAATGAATGGAAATGTATAACCCACTAACACCATAACTTGGTCATCAAAAACTGAAAATATACGTACTATTCCAACCAGTGAGCAAAGAACAGACGGAAATGTATAACCCACCATTGCAACTGGTGAAACAATTGTTCCACAAACTAATGAGAAGGCTCAGCTGCGCAAATGGAACAGGGCGCCAGCAGCAGCTGCACCTAGGCCTGGGGCACAGCGAGGGGCGCCACCGAAGCCACCGGGCCAGCCGATGTGGGGCCACCACCTCCAGCCGCGCGGAACTTAGGCAGGCAGAGGCCGAACTTGTTCTCGATGCCGGCAAAGGTGGCATGTGCCAGGCGGTAGCCTCCAATGTGGTCGACCCGGTTTGGAGGCAGATCTGCAAGAGGAGACTTGGGTACCGTTTCTGGCCTTCTGCTCGGTCAGGGGCGGGAGGGGGGGACAGAGAGAACATGCGTCAATGGGAGAAATCGGTGACGCGTAGCAGTTCCATCGCTCGCAGGCGGATTAAAGGTGCATGGTAACCAAGGCCTATTTTAATGGCGACAAGTAAAATGCTCGACATGAAACTGATTTTAAAAGGTGAAGGTACAGCCGTGGAATGTATTACCCACTTTACTGTTGACAGAAGGGGCCTCCAATAGATGGAGCCATAGCTAACCCCTCTAGAGGGTATTTGACCTACTCCTCCATGCAGGCCAGGCTTATTGGAAGAGATGGGAGTATCCACACCTGACCGCACCAGATGCGACCTGGCGATCGACTGTGGTGTGCCCATTCATACGGCTGACTTTGGACTGCGTTAAATCTACAAATGGTAAGTAACGAAACAAAAAATGCCAACTTCAATAGCTCTATATCAACTGTGTAACTGTCATAAACGTTGCTCTGTATTTACTAACACTACGCCATACGCTACTTATATGAATACATGACAGAAGCCTATGGTCAAGTGTTAAGCAATTCCTCGTAACAGGCCCTGGTGATAAATCAATGAAACTTCTGACACATCGCAGTTTTTTTTATACAAATGTAAAAAAAAACACACGGGCAAAATACAGCTTGAGGAATTGTGACCCACGAATAAGAGCGGAAGCGCTTCCGCTTAAATAACAGAGTGGGGGTGTCAACGGTGTGCGGGGCCCCGATGGTGCGTCACTGTACCGGCCACCGAAGTCGACGTGAAACCACTGCTGGAGCAGCTCGTACGTGAGGAGAGTGACGCCAAACTGCGGAGACGAGCGGCAGACACGAGCTGCGAGCAACAGTGCGACTTGCGTTAGCAAAGGCGACGGATTAATGCACACTCAGAAGTTTAAACGCGACAATGGGGAGCCAAATTTGTCTTTTCTTTCGAACAGCGCAAGCGACAGCGGCGATAACAAATCACACACGTCTAACAGGGTTCGAGGCTTTCTGCTACGGTGGAAACTGGGCGCAGCGTTCAGGCAAATAATTTAGAGGAAGACCTGGTGGCTCAGAATTCGTCAGAACGTTGAGATGGCACTGCTGAGAATCCTGGGTTTAAATTCAGGCACCCGCCTGTGATTAAACTGTATTATCAAGTCCAGCGAGTCGATCCTCTCAGTTCCATTCACAATGACAGTATATGTATTGAAAAAACCCATCATATTTGGATCTGAACTTAATTTGGCTAAATTCCAGCTCTGACAAGTGTAATAAAGTAGTTCGGTTGTCATGCGACGAATATCAGTCATATGGCAGGGCAATTTTAACCACGCTTATATATATTTTTTACATGAAGAAAAAAAATACACCACGTGCTCTCATGTACTGCAGGCACAAAACGCTGAGCATTTTTGAAGCTTGAGCTGGCGTCCCACGCGCACGAAGCTGCCCTTCAGCAACGCGTTTCAACGCAAGGCGTGTACATTCGCCACGACCTGGTGGGCGGCAGAGTTCATCCGTACCTCCAGCGCCCTTCCATAGGGCCCGAGGGCCCTCCTCGTTCAGGATCTTGCGAAAGCAGTCTATGACGCCGCTGTATGTGGTCTGGCCGGCACGCGCCGCCACTTGCAGACGCGTCTTTATCACGTCGGCCGGAGTGACCAGGGAGGCGGCCGGCATGCCTACAGAGAGAGAGAGAGACTGAGGGCGGCATATGAATTCCGCGGTGGTCGGACGTACCGTCGCGACCGCCTAACATGGAGGGCGCGTCTTAGCAACGGCGGGCCGGTCAAAAGGCCCAACGCAATTTACACCTCTGACAGAAATGTAAACAATATTTTCACGTATGGCCAATGTGTAAAATTATAGCTGCGTGAAACTGGAAAAAAAATCAGTAATATTAAATGGCGGTTCCTAAAAATACAGCGGCCGTTTAAAATGTAACGTGAGTAATGCGTGAGCGGGCCCTTTTTATTGAACGTGGAGCCGCACCCCGACCCGTGCTTGCTGACCTGCGATGGCACCGGCCGTGAGCAGCTGCAGTGGCCCCACATGGCCTTTCTCGTCTGCGAAACTCGACTTGGTGTGCGCATACACCGGGAAGTAGATGGCAGAGAAGGGGATGTCGCGAAGAAAGCACGCCTTGGCACCCTGCATACATGGTGAGGCATCAGTGTGGAAAGAGAGGCAGACGCACGCGATTTGTTCTCCAACGCTGACAAAACCGCAAAAAACTCGCACAGTGTGAAATACAGTGAAGGAAAAATAAATCCACGGTCAAAATTAGGAATCATATTGACTTCGATTACAAATTATCTATGCTTCAAGTTACCAGGCTGGCTGCTGGCTGGGTTCCTCTCCATCCCCAAAATTAACTCTATTGATAGTGGCCGCTGTGGGCCGTTGCCACTGAAACAATATTTGGTAACTGGCTAAACGACATTTTACGCATAATAAATATACATTTCATTAATTTAACATGTAGGCTTTCGCGACCAATATTAGCCACAAGAGGTTTATTTTGGTTAGATCGCGTAAATATAAATTTGTCGTTAAACCTGTGTCGGGTGGTGGCAGGTTTTAACGACACATTTATATTTACGCGATCTAACCTAAAAAACGCTATTATGGACATTGAATTGAAACGGCAGAAGATTTTTGGAAGACGTATAATAATAATAGTGACACCAAAGAGTTGGGAGTAACAAATACAGAAGATTGACACGGTTCATTTAAAACGTAGTCTTACATTTTTAATTCATGCTCGTATTAATGTCAATATTTCGCCACATTCTGTAAAACCTAGAGAACATGAAAAAAAAACCTCACAAACATATGATCTTGCTGCTTTATTATTACGGAAAAAAGTGAGATTTTTGCTCGGAGTACAGGATTGTGAGAAAAGTACGAAAATGACACCTGATTTTTATTTTCCGGTTCCTCTACGAGCCATTTAAAAAAAAATGGCGACTCGTGCACCAATCAAAAAAAGTTAAACCCTCGCGTTCTTTTGCACACACGTGTGCCCTTGCGCGAATGTTCTGACGTTGGTGCCGGGTGACCATGGGCGTTCCACGCTGCGTTCGTGCAGTATAGCACCGCAATCAGGCTGCCATGCTGTGTGCACGTGTGGAAATAAACAAACTTTTGTCTCAGCTTGCAGGGAAACAGTAGTGACCAGCTGTAGTTCTGGTACAGGCATGTACGAAAAACTATTGTTGTGATATCAACACTCAGTATTTTGTTCAAAGTGTTAAAGGTTGTTGGCTATAGTGGTGGTGGGTGACGATCCATCCATTAAAATCAATTCTCACACTCAAGATAATCCTTTACATCACATATGCAAAACTAAATAAAAACCCTTTTGCCAAATAAATAACTTTATCGATACGTCTTCAGGTCGGAAGATATACCGAGGCTTCCACAAGGTCATGCGGGAGGGTGTGTGGCACGGTTTAGCGCCAGCTATCATAGAGTGCGGTCGTGTCGCTACAGTTCTCTGCGGTGAGTACAATGTCTTTAGAAACAACGGCGCTATGCCTCTCGCAATAAAATTAACTCCGAACCCCTTGCACGTTCCGAGATTCAGCAACGCAACAAACGGGACCCACCCCACAACTTGCAGACGTCTCGGAACGGGAAAGGGTTAAGATGTATGCAAATTACAAATTACATGCAAATGTGCTGGGACGAAAAAAACACGTACGTGACAGGCGACACGAACCAGACCCCGAATTGTAACAATTTGTCGAACGACAAGGGGTGGCAGCGGGGGGAGGGGGGTCAATCACCTTATATAGGCCCAGGAAGCCCAGGTCACGCAGCACGTTGAGGGCGCTGACACGCGGGCCCGTTGTGATCTCGCCAGCCACCTGCAGGCGGATCTTGACAATCTCCAGCGGGTTGGTGAAAATGACCTGGGAGCCACCCGCCTGTGCCCACATGGAGGGATTGAGCATCACTGGGCTGCACAAGATCCTCTACGCTTCTCGTTTCGTATGGTAGAGAGCCAAGACGAAAACCTTCGCCCGGTTGCCCCCGTTATTCGTTGATTGTTCAGGCTTTGTGTTTCCCGTCTACACGACAGACGTCGTAACAAAGGCTGGTCGATCTTCCGGTATAAACGAAGATATGGGTGGAAAGATGCCACTCAACCTGGCACCAAGCAGCAGATAATAAAAAATCTCCAAGTTGCATTTTAGTCAAATTTGTAATGGGAACTCTGTTATAAAAAAAGTATATTCCTTTTGTTTCTTTTGCCGATTATGTTGGGAGACAACTTGTACACAAAGTGACATGCTCCTCGTCCTTAAGTAATCGACATCCGAGATAAGCCAGCGGCTTCGAGGTAATGAGCTGAATTTTTCTTAAAAAAGAAACACGTCAAGGCACGGGGCACCATAATTATAACGTGCAACTTTTTCACGAAATTAAAGTACATAAATTTACTTTGGTGGCAGGGACACGCCAACACTTCTGTTTATTGCCTCTCCCCCTCAACGCAGAGTTCATGCGGAGGTCAGAAAATGTAGTGCCTCTCTAAGCAATAACGCACTGCCGACAATGGTGGACTTAGGCGAGGTTTAAGCAAGGTGCTGTGTAACGTGATAACCTGCTCTTAGTTTGCCGCCGAGCGTTGTAATCCGCTCCAAACTACAATGTCCCTCTTCACCGGTGCGCGCCGTTAAAACTACAAAGGAAAATTAACCGCGGGTTTCGGGGGGGGCAGCGACTCAACTTCTTTTTACCAATCCCCAAATACCCCTTGCGCTTAATTAAAAATTAAGCCCGCCCGAGTGGGCTCATCTCGTTGGCAAGTTAAAGGCTGCTTCGAAAACTCTGCCCGAAGGCCTTGTCCGATTGTCATTTCATCCAATGGTCGCACGCACGCGCGTGCGTGGCTACGCTGGGTCAGGTCACCGAACCCACCGATCTGAGTTCAATTCCCACTCACGCTCAATAAGTGGCGAATATTTGAGCTGGTCCTGGGCCTCCCCCATGTCGACTCAGTCTCAAATGAGTACCTGGTGCAAAGTGTAAACATTGCCACTAGGGAGACAAAGGCGGCCGGGTACGGCGCTGGCCACTCACCCCCTCGTGTGCAGTGCCGGCCTTCATAAGTGCCCGCTAACAGCACTTGCCCCAATAGTCTGTTTAGGCTATACAGGGGATCTTTGTCTTCGTTTTGTGTGTTGGGTAACCAGAGGCTGCAGTGGGTGGAAGGTTAGAAGAGGGCAGTTTTGGCCACAGACTTTTGAAAATTATGTCCCTCGCCCGTATCTCGCCGTACCTCGTATGCCCGGCCACCTCTCATTTTCTACCTGCCCTCGAGCGAACTGCTGATGAAACCACAGTGACCCTTGAAGAGTCAGAGGTCATAACCTTGGTCAGCTGATTACAGCCACGAAAAAGGGCACCTTTCAGTCACAGCTCTTTCAACATTTGTCTTTCTATTGTGCAGGTTGTACTAAATGAAGCCTCTGTTTACCTGTGACATTCCCAGCATTGATAAGCCTGCTCTACCAAACCTTACACAGGTTTTCTCATCTTATACAACTTCAAAGTAAATATCAAGCTATCATATAATAAAAAAAAGTACAAAGATAGAATATAAACAAAAACGTTTGTTTCTAAACACTATTGGATTGCGAGCAAAATTACTATTTTCTTTCCCGCAGTATACAAGTTTTTCTTGTGCAACCTTTTCTGAAGCCAAATTTGATGCAATTTTGCTGCATTCGCTTCAGATTTAAGTTGTATTTATGGCTCGGGTACATGAATGCTCGCTTTTTATAAACCTTCTGTGCCTCTGTAAGAATGCCAGTGATTAGGTGAGAGCCAGATTCAGCATCAAGCGAAGGGTGGGGCTGGAAGGTAGGGGGTGGGGGTGGGGGAGAAGAGTGGGGTGTATAGGTCACGAAGGGGGTGACACCCAATACTCACACAGCCCCCGGCGATGATTTCTCCAATCAAAGGGATGGAGTTGTCCCTCTTCGTGAATTTATCCCTTATTAAATCATTCATCTGAAAGAAACGCCCAGCCGGTGACTTGTATTGCAACTCACCAACAGAAGCACGCACAGGCTCACAACTTCACCAACAGCAACCCTAGTCCCCTTTCTTTAATCAATATATTTTTTTTACATTTTCAAAAGCATATTAAAAAAACATTTTTTATCCCAACTGCACTATTGGTGTCATATCATGAGATGAAGTATCTCTTCACAACACTCACAGAACATACAAAACCTTTGTTTTAGAGAAAGGGCCACATAAGTAGATATCACAGAACTGCCTCTGATTATCCCATAGTGTGACCTGTGTTTTCCAACAGTGGGGGGAGCCAGCACTTTCCCACTCACTCCACCACCGAGTAATTATTCGTCACATGGCAGCCAAACTGATATTCTTAATTCGCATAACTTGGCCAACTTAATTGCAGAATAAAACTTATTGTGATTTTTTTTTCACTGTTATTAGTGACAAACTGAGACCATCAACCGACTACACTCGAGAACCCAGTTTAATCAGAGGCGGCTGCCCAAATTCAAACCTAGGCTTCTCGGTGTTACCAGCTGTGAGCCATCTGGCCCACCTAAATGAATGCTCTTTTAACAGTCACTACAACTATATGAGAAAGGCCATATAAATGACACGGAATAAGTGGGGTCACAGGTCAGATAGAAGGCCCTCTGCATCCCTGATGGAGGTCTTTAAGAGTCCAACGTGACACATCCAGGTTGTGATTTTATTCAACTTTTGCCAACTTTTCTGTTACCGAAACAAACGCACGCAAGCAGTAAAACGCACAACACCTATCCATTTGTGAATAAGGCACAACACGTCCTGGCCAAGGGTGTGTTTCTCATTACAAAAAGAAAAACGTGAAAATATGTTCAGGGCAAAGGAGGTAACGTCCCGGTGGATTTCCTTCGACACTCCTCGTTACGAGCCGCAAGCCCACAGGCTCCTCCCCAGCAGATCCGTCTGCTCGCTCGCTCACTCTCCCCAAGCCTGCTCAGACGCTGCCTGATGTGCGTCCAACACCGCGAGCTCCCGTCGTGCCCAAAGGTGGGTTCACGCCGACTCAAAACGATGCACACGTCTAACATAGTGCAGATTTTCACGTGAAAAAAAGCAACGTGCAATTTCATGTTCAAAAATAAACTTTGACATAATGAGTTTTTAGCCGCGTGAGCCAATAAACTAATTCAGTCCGTAAGCTAGATTAATGAAATTCTGATTTATTTTCTTTTTTTCAATTTTAATCTACAAATTGACGTAATTAATGTACGTTCTAGCCAGAAACCCAAGGGAAATTACACAGCAACTAAGATTTCATTATCCGGCGAGGAACGTTATGGAACGCAGCGTGACCTCGGCCACTGTTAATTTAAACAACAGCAATGATTTCTTTCTCCATTTAACTGTGCCACTTACAGTAAGCTTGATGGCCTTTTCTGGAGCCACTCCAAGGAGCTGAGGAATGAGACCTGAAAGGGGGGGGAGAGAGAGAGAAACACGCGGAAGCAGAGTCAGCCGCGGCGTCACGCCGAACGCGAGCGCACGCTCAAAAGCATGCGCACGAAACCACAGGCACTCCGCGAAAAAGGTCAATCAGCCGCACAAAGTCAGGAGGTTTCATTATATAATGCACACCCACACAATCACAATAAATCGTGAAATAAAATATGCACGCACATTGCTTTGAAGATGAGATGGTAGTTATACTTCTGTTTCAACAACAACAACAAAGTTTGCTCCTGGATATGCAATTGCTCACGTTGTAACACGGCCCATTGCTTTTGATCACGTTTTATAGAGCTATGACTCAAGTAAGCAAAGAAGGCTGCAAAGTTGGGCCAAGGATACAGACAAGTTTACTGGAAGAAAATCACGTTGTTTGAGGGACACAACTGGATACACACAAGGGTGTACGAACAATCTAAGGAAATAATCATCGGCGAACCAGAATATAAATTGTGAAGTAACGAGGCAAATGGAAGCAGGATGAAGTGCATTTAGAAATGTGCCTAAAGAACAACTTTTCAATCAGTGCATATGAGATACCATGAGAGAGATCCGACACGTGGATGAGACACGTACAGAAAATGGGAGAAAAAAAAATATGGAAAAAAGTGCATATGAGACACCATGAGAGAGATCCGACACGTGGATGAGACACATACAGAAAATGGGAGAAAAAAAAATATGGAAAAAAGTGAAAAAAGATTCAGCTTGGGCAGGACACACGGTTAAGAATGACATCTGATGGATGAAACTGATGACAAATGGGCAGATAAAGGGAAGAGCACGTGCCCAAGAGGATGATCACCGGGATAATGGAAGTGATGAGATCAACTCTTGTAGTACAAGAGCGAGACGGATTGTGGCATCACAGGACCAAGAATAATGTTGGAGATGCTGAGGCTTTCATCGAGCATTGCATAGAGCACGGCTGATCATAATGATTGACTAATGCACATCTAAGCTTTTTCGTGTGTATAAAGCTGTCCAACTATATTCTTTATTCTGTGGTTCTTTCGGTAAAGTCACGCATCTAGAAAAATAACAATTAAAATAAAGTGAATAAATAAAAAATAATCCTGTCTAACTACTTATGCTCAACGCACTATAAATGCTGCACAAGCAACTTTTAAGTAAACCAAAAAAATCCACAACGACTGAAAATGTGCAGTGTGCGGAATTGGCCCGGCACGGCTGTCCATCAGCAGGGACACAGGGGGAACGCGTGCGACTGGCAGGTGAAAACAGAGCACGCACGCATGTCCGCTCGCCCGCGAGAAATAGCGCACATTTTTCCTTCTCCCCAGAGAGGCGCTCCAGCGTGTTTGGCCCTCGTCACGGCTCTCTGGCGCACAACGGCCGCCGGTAAGTGGCGAGGTGAGTGGGCAGCGACCCACGGCCGAGCCCTCAGGACGTAGCTGTCCGTCAAATGCTCGGCACGCCACGGCCACAGTGGCCCTTCAAACTGCAGTCCGCCGCGTGGGCGCCGTGCTACTCTGGAGCTGCGCCCGGCACGCTCACCAATTCCACGGCTCCAGCTGTTTAAAGCGAGCGGGCAATTTATTTCGACTTTCCGAATTTAATATCGTAATCGGCAATGGTCAATACACTGCTGGATGAAGGCTTCCCCAAGCCGGCACCATCTCTCGTCGTCCTACGATGACACGAATCTGCCTAGTACCCACATGCGAGCTGATTTCATCACACGAATTCCCGACTTGTTAAATTCCCAGGTTGCCGCTCAAACATTATTCTTGACCATCAGTCAACACCCCTTGTAGCAACGTGCCCTACCCAAGCCCACTTACTTTTCTGAACAGTTAGCATGATATTCTGGGTTCTTTCGGTAAAGTCACGTAGAAGGGAAATACAATTTTTATTGTTTAATTATTTTACTATTTCCCTTCAAGAATATTAATCCCTGCAGTCACGAAAGCTTTAAATCGAAAGTTAGCATGATGTCACTAACGTGTTCATAAATCCATGGTTCTCTCTTCCGTCTCTTAGTGTAATTCCAAGCATGGATTTCACCATGCCATAGATAACATCGGCGGCATGTGATATGTAAATCGGTCCTGGGGTCTCTCCCCTTGACAAACACCCACTGACCAGCGTGGTGAAGTATGGTCAAAGAAGCGCCATGACCAACATATCGTGGGGAGGCCTTCATCCAGCAACGGATTGACAGAGAGATGTAAGTATATTTTAAATGTGGGTTAATCTCATGATGGATGTCTAATTAAAATACGCTTACATGCACGCAAATAGCATTTAAATCCCGTCATAAACCACATCACCATCATGTGAACGCGTCCTTCTTCAGCGCAAATGCTATTGGCAGGCGGATGAGTTCACAGGTACATGCACGGAGCACACCCACATCCTGCGCGTGACGGGGACTCGCGAAGGCATGGACAAGGCTGTGGCAGCAGGTGGCAGTAGGTGGCAGTGTCACCACTCGAAGCTACAATTGCCACCCAATTCCACATCGGCAAATGGTCAGGTGTGCCCCCTAAGCAGTTCGGCTTGTCGAGACCATTTGATGGATACGACTGTTCCCGGCGTTTTTAGCCACAGGTACATGCATGACCAAACCACAGAGGAAGCACTCCATCTCAGCATACCTCGAAAGTTAAGCAGGATAGTGCTTGAATAGGCTAGTGCAAGACTACGTTGGGGGCAACAGAGAACACAATGTGACAAAGTCATAATCAGAAAAAAACTATTTCCACTGGAGGAATCCTATGAGCCATGAAGCTCTTTTTCAGTCCAGTAGGGGCGGATCAGAATGTTACAACAAACAACACCAAAAAAAAGAATAGCAGTGCAAAATATAGAAACGGTAAACAAGTCACTAAAAATAAAGTATATACAGTAGAAATTACATAAGTCAGTTGAGTATGCTCCCACATCTGTGCTCCCTGTGGTGCAGTAGATGGCGTGCTGCTCTATGAACACAGTGAGCTGAGTTTGATACCCATCCATGGCTGACATCAAAGGTGAATTATAGCTGAACCAATCCTGGGCCCCGCCGCTCCCTTCACCAACCCACACTGAAGTATGCTCAATGAACCATCATTACCCGCAAGGCGTGAGGAAGCACTCATTCAGCAGCGGATTGGCAAATCGGCTGTATGTGTATACGTGCACAAGCGAGTGGCGTGTGCCGAGGAGTGTGGGGAGTGGTGGTGCAGTGGTTAACGCATTGCGCTACAAACCTGCTGAATTTGATTCCGGCTCAAAGCCAAAATCAGTCACAAAATATCAATAACGGTGCTGGCCCTCCCCCCCTAGGTCATCTCAACCTTAAATTAGTACCCGGTGCGGTGTGTAAACATCACCACTGGGGAAATAAAGCTTGGCCGGGCATGGTGCTATCCACATCAACCCCCTCGTGTGCCGTGTTGGTCTTCACCGGTGCTAGCAAACGGCACTTGCCGCAGCAGTCTTGTAAGGACCACGCTGGGCGACCTTTGCCTTTGTGCGAGTGCACCCACCTCGGTAGAGGCCGAAGACGCCCTCGTAGCGCACCACCTTCTTGAAGCAGTCAAAGCTGTTCTTGTACATGAGCTCGCCCACGAAGGAGCCGGTCGAGCGCTGATTCTGCATGCGCGTCTTCACCAGGTCGATGGGGTACACGGCCGTGGCGCCCACCGCTACAAGACGGGCACACGGGCGCCCCCCGCACACCGCGTCACATACACAGGCACACAGGCACAGGCACCGCGCTTCACGTAGCACGTCAAGCGCACACCCCACGCTGTGTGTACGACCGTCACGCTATGTGCGTACACGTGTCACACACGTCAACACACCAAATGTGCAAACCGCTGTTTAATAGTAGGCTCATGGCGAGTGAATTGCAGTCAAATAATTCATGAATCCAAACGTGTACTGGAAGTACAGCAAAGCACACAAACGAGACGATACAATTGTGAAATGCAATTACGAAGGTACGAGAAAAAGAATCGTCATATTGTGAATAATTGTATTGACAACTTTACCATGTACACATCGCACTCCATGTACATGTGTAGTGACATGGAACGGGTCACTACGTAGCATAGCGCGGGTTACTGGAGAAGGGGATCTGCAGTTGCAGCAGCCCTGTCTGTCAGCAGGTCACGTGACAAGTCAGAGAGAGGGATGTAGGGGAAAGGTGATAGAGGGGGCACGTGAGGGAAGCCCGGGAACCCGCTAGTAAGTTCTAGAAAGGGGCGTGGCCAGGGCGGAGCGAGGCCACGCTGGGAGGCTAAAAGGGGACCCCGAGCAAAGGCTCGGGGCTGTCGTTTGGAGTGGGATCCCCTCGCCGTGCTGCTGGAGTCTTCGTCGCCATCTACGTCTTCACCTTCTCGGCATCGTCAGTCAGGCGGTTGTCCTGACTGAGAGCTGTAGTTACCCCTTGTGAGCTGTGAAGGCTGATAATAGAGTGCGTTCTACTCCTAGTGTCTCTGAATGCGTCACTACACATACAATAAACAAGCCACCCAATGTGCACACATCAAAAGTCACACCATGTACACACCCTCTACAAGCCACACAATGCACACACCCCACACAAACCACATTATGTACACACCCACCAACAGCCACACCATGTATCCATGACACGGTCCCACCAGGTACACACCCCCGCACAGTCCACGCCATGTATACATCACATACACGTCGTTCCAAGTAACCCACATACACACGCGCACATCCTCAGCACGCCACTATAAACTATTTTTTATTTTACCATGTAAGGCCCACCAAGCTATATAGTTATTTTTCAGAAGCGACCTGGCCACAAATGATAGCCCAATGAAGTGGCTTATCGTGTCGATATTTCTAGCAGGTAAATACTCGAGATGATCGAATTGACGACCTCCTGTATACCAGGCGAGGCAGTTAACATCTTTCCACTGGAGCATTCCGCGTACACACCCCATGACACATGCCCCCACATCACACAAAGCACCAAAATAACAAGGATTTGAAGAGGATTAAAAATTACAACCAAAATGACAGCGAATCGAGGTGCTAAGCGAGAGATGAACAAGACAACAGTCATCATCAAGTGACATCAAATAAAAAACAATCTAAATAGCTTTCATTTTATTTGTCATCGATATGTGCAGGCATGCAATGCGTGTGTGGGCACACACATATCTTTATACAGTACATCTAAAAATGCACCATAACAAGCAAAGCAAGATAATTTCAGTAACTCGACCTGAAACTATATATTCACGAGCCAAGAGTCCAAACTCCCAGGCGCATTCTGAACGACTTGTCTGGCTCTCAGGACCGTGCCAGATACAACAATGACCCTTTGGATGGAGCGAGCCGATGCACAGAGGGGTAACTGTAAGGACATCATTGTGGCACTGTGGGCCAAGACTGGCTGGAGCCAAGGATACTAGACGCGTAGTGACAGACGCACTCGAGTCAAATAAATAAATAAGTTGAAATGACCGCGGAGGGGGAAAAAACGCCCCACGTAACGAAACACGACGCTTGTCACGATGGCAGCTCGCGTGGGCGATCGTGTTTGCCGCCGCGCCGAGACGCGGCGGCCACGCATGTGGCGTCGTCCGTAAGCGGCGCAGCTCCGCGCAATAAAACGTGGAAAAATAAATCACGCGAGCGGTTGCGAGCTCCGCTATAACGTGCGCGTGCTCCACGGCGTTGTGTTGATGAAATGCGATATACCCCGTGTTTGTCTTTATCTTTGAATGAATGCGTGGCGAGTGGCAATTGAAGTTCCCATCTCACCTCCGGCAATTGAGCCCAGACCAAATCTGTAGGCAGATTCGGCCACTTGGATGAGAATGGGTCTTGACTTGTCTGAGGCTTGCTAGCAAAGCATCGTGGGATTAAAAGAATGTTACTTAAAATCAAATACGGTATTAATAACAAACAAAACCATAGTACATATGCACGTACAGTCTTTTATCAAACCACTGCTGGGTTCGTGCCTCTCCACGCCATGCGGGTCGTGGGGGCTGTTTGCCCATACTTCACCACACTGGTGGTCAGCGTGGGTTGGTGAAGGCAGGGAGCATAGATGTGGGAGCGAAGAAGTACAATACAAACATTGATTTAGCGGCAATGCCCTCTGCATCCTACCACATATTCCCGTCGCAGCCGATAACATATTTTTTATAACATGGTGGTCACCCATCCCAAACGCGAATTTGCTCATCTTGCGAGATACGACAAAATCAGGTGCTTACCAGCTTAGTTCATAGGGTAGGAAAATCTCCCGGGGCTGTATAATGGACTTGAATATAAAACAATTAAATTCCACACTACATAGCTTTCTGTGAAATAAACAAATGGGATAAAACCCTTCCCAAACAACACGTTTACAAAGCAAGGTGGGAGGGGGGCAGGTACACAAAACTAAGTGACCACTACAAAAAAAACAACAGTGCAACCTCTCCCTAGCTAGAGGGCATTGGTTTTATATCCCCAAGGACCCTTTATCCTAACCCAGTCCAGCAGTTAATGTGGCCACTGTAAACTTTTTAACTGCCTGGCGACTCCACGTAAAAGCGAGCGGGATTACGCACGCGGCCCCGTGAGCACACCTGCCCTACAGGAATGCAGGTCCCCTTTGCACGGAGAAAGAGGGCAGGTAAGCTCCTCTGCCACGCAGCCTGTAATCCTCCCAGTTTGCCCGGGGGTGGGGGGCGCGGTTGTGGGGGTGGAGGGTGGCCAAGCGGAGGAGGGGGCATCAGAGCGGTTTTTGGTGTTGTGGGCGGTAGGCAGGGTTAGTTCGTGGAGAGGAGCAGCCAAATAACAAAAATAGATTGAGTTCAAACGCGCACAGGTTTTACTGTGGGAACACGGCCCTGCAGGGATGAAACGCGAAGGGATGGCCCACCCAACAGATGTCTGGAGGCCTTTCAGCCTTTGTTTCAGGAAGTGCCGGTATACACCTCCACACACACACACATACCCTGCCAGATCAGCAGGTTTAGCCTGGAGCATAAACTGGAAAATGTCTGTTTGGGCAAAACACGTGCCTCTACCCAGCCCAATAAGTTGCAACGATCGTTTGACCACTTAACATGCATCGACAAATAGCGATCCTCTACAAACGTAATGAGGAATTAGTACTCAAGAGCTCGTATGCATAAAACATGTTACAATGCACTGCGCTCTGAACTCGCCCACCTGCGCTTGATTCCTGGCCAAGGCTAACATCAACGATGAATGATATCGTAAGCAATCATGGCCCCTCCTCGCTCTCTTCACGCTCCACCACCCCGCACTGACCAACACGGTGAAGTACGGTCAAATAACCCCCACAAATCGCATGGCATGGGGAGGCCGTCATTCAGTAGCGGAGTGACAAAAGGGCTGTCCATGTACTACCGCACTGCTGTCATTTAAGAGGTGTGCACATTTATTTTTTCCTGAAGAGACCATAATAGACATATCAAAGCGGAAACCGCCGATGTGTATTATTCTGAACGCAGCGTTGAGCGGTTGTCTCTAGATGGTCACATTTTCACCTGTGGCAGCTTCACACAAACGCACCGCACAGGTGCGGCCCTTTTGAAATCGCGACATTCCAGCTGCGTTAGCGGAGAGGTGCACCCACCCAGCCCGACAAAATAGCGTTCCAAATAAAGTAGACGTCACCTGTGACCAAATCACCCAGAATGCACCAGATCTCATGAGAACTCAGAAGCTAAGCTGTTCTGAGCCTGGTATGGGTGACCACCATGCATAACCAGGTTGTTATAGGGCGTGTGGCTACACGGTGCACAGCAGATGGCAGTGCAGTAAAATCCATTGTTGTAACGTATGTACTTCTACGCTCCCCACCTTTACAAGGCCGCACTGACCAGCATGGTGAAGTATGGTCAACTAACCCCCACGAACTGCACGACATGGGAAGGCCCTCATCAAGCAGTGGAATGGCACAAAGTTTGTACGTGATGTGCAACCCGCATTCTCCCTTCGAATCCAAATTCGAGGAAACAGTGAGCCAACATAAATGTGTGATGACAGTTAAGACACCAAATAAACCCGAGAAAAGCATGTCAGCACACAGCAACACTTGAGCCCTCTCTCTTTGAGCACTGGGGCGGTGTGTATTTACGGCCACCAGTGGTCACTATTCAAACCCCCTTGTGTACAGCAGTTTCCAGTGGACCATTAATAACAAAAATGACCACCTCATGCCAGCGGGTTTTTGTTCAGCCTTTTGTCAAACAGCCAAAGAGTAATGTGGCAGATTGTCAGATGCAGACCTCCCGCATGGCGCACCTACAATTGAGCATCACCTCATGCCTTGGGGGGGGGGGGGGTCAACATTTCTCCAAAATTTATGGGCAGACCTCTAACATTTTGGATTCGCACACCCACCAATGTTAGGGTCTGAGTGGGTCTATGGTTACCAGCAATCAATGGACCCAGCGGCTGATCCTGGAATGCCCGGGTATAATGAGTCTGTCTGTAGCTCATCCACCTGCCTCCCCGCACTATCAGGACCACTGTTGTATGAAGGATAAGCTGCACCTTGTTTGCACTGCAGGGGAAAGATGCTTTAAACAAATAAGATGTAGGTGGAGAGGCGAAGTGTCCTTTACCTGCCGCTGGGCTTCAGCCAAGTTATAAGGCATGGCACCGTCCTGGAGGGGAGCTATCCTCTCTATGTCTGCCAGGGTCACTCGACTGCACACACCGGCACAGCAAACAGCAAGCGGTACAGCAGCGAGCGGTACTACTACAACGACGGCAAAGTTTGTCACCGTTTTTTTTTATCACGGTTGCTGAGCACAGGTCCCAAGGCCCAAAATGCCATACGGCCAGCAACATTTAGCACAATTGAAGGGGGTGGGGGGGGGGGGGGGCAAAAAAAAAAGTCAATGCATTTCTTGAATTCAGCGAGGTTATTAAAATAACTGGGAAAAAGAGAGACAATGGGAGGACATTTCAAATTAGAGCAGTGCGATGAAAGAAGCAGTAAAAGGAGTGCCTTGACCTGCGGCATTGGTGGTTGAACACAGCGTGCTCATGAAAATAAAACAAGAGGTTTCGGCAACGACGAGGGATTTGGCCGATTAAACTGACCCCGTTGGCTCGAAGAGATCAGACAGCTGGAACAGGATGTCCACTTCCATCGGAGTCACTTGGCCGAACCTCTGAGCTGCCAGCACGAACTCCTCTGTGAAGAAAAGTATACGGGTTGCATTCAACATTGAACGTAGAGAGAAATGGCACCAGATAGTACCTAAAACCATGCCCCTTTCTTTGTTTGAAAATTGTATTCGGTTTATGGCTAGTATCAAAGGCAAACAACAACAGCTTAAGCAGCAAAGTCGACGAGTGCAAAGTATGTAATGGCACGGGCCAAACTGGACTATCAAATGTTAAGCAGTGTGGTCTCACATATCACTGCTGTGTGCGAGTGATAACAATGATCACTGCACTAGGAGTATTCTTCAGTCACACTCGGCGAGAAGAAGGAAAACACACTCCCGGTCAGTGATGCTCTCGCATGTAAATTATACCGCTAGATTTTTCAGCTCAAAAGTGTAACATGCTTGCTTAAGATGTAAAAAATAATACCACCTGACGAAACCTATAACTCTACGACAATAACAGATATCAGCAAACGTTTCCTTCTATATAAGCAATTTAAGGACATTTCACATTAACGGACTCTTTTAACACCACCGAATTTTTTAAAATAACCACTATATGAAGCGTCCGCTAGGCATACGATACACCGATTCACTGAATAAAAATCGATTCTTATGCCCACGATACGTCCCATCAAATTGCGCACTTAAAAGAGACGATTGTTTTCGATTCGTAGACGTTATAAGCATTTGGTGCACGTGACCTCCCCAGCCAAGGCCCGAACAGGCCCGAGAAGATGCCCACTGCAAATATGCTAGACGGATTTTATTTTACATCAAACGACCGCGAGATATGGCAACAGCTTGGGGAATGCCTTTGTTAGAGAAGCGGATAAACCACCGCCGAGGTTTACGAGGGTGACCTCTGGAGCCACTACTTTCAATTAAATTATAAATAAATTTAATCGGTTCATTAATCGAATCAAACTTCTAATGATGACGGTTGACGAAATTGTCAATCGGGCATAATCATTAATACCCCGTGTGCACTGCACCGTTTGTTATTCATATCTCGAGACGGGGCGAATAAAGTTTCCGTGACTTTTTGATGCACCGGACGAGCTACCTTTGGTGACGCCGACGCCCTTGCGCGATGCACCCAGCGTGCTGTAGATCTTGCGCATCAGCTCCATGTTGTTGAGAAGCGAGTTGAAGGCATTGAAGTAAGAGAAGCTCACCTGGTGAGTTTTGCTGCCTCCCGCTGCCTGCGCACCCACATGGAGAACGAGCGCCGTCGATTCAACGCACGTACGACATGCATTAGAAAATACCAACAGCTTAAAAAAAAAGGGTGCAAGCTCAGTATAAGGCTCGTTACAGAAACGGGATTAATTTTGTTTTCCCAGCGGGAAGCTTACAGTTGTGAAATTGACCAATTGGAATTTTTACGAAGGCGCCTAGGGCGCTCGGAGAACTACTCACCGACACGAGGTTCTCCTTCACGAACGGCGACAGCATGTGCAGACGGATGGTGAGCATGATGTCGTTGAAGGCCAGCGCTGGAATCGTACCGGACTTGTTAACGTCCTTCAGGGCGAAGGCCTGCCGAGCATGTTCCAGTTGCAGCTCCTGCCAATCCACGTACATACCCACACACAAAGACAAAGATCCCCCCCCCGGTTAGTCATAATGACTCGAGCTGGGATGATCGCTCCATCAGGTCAATTAATCGACTTGAAATTATAACAGCCACTCTATTTTGTGGCGGTGACATCACCACAGCACTTGTGCCAGGCGAGGTGCAATTTGAGGCCACGTGAAGTGTTGAAGGCTCGCTGGCAGGTCATGGGCAAACGCAAGCGTTATGCGTTGACTGACTGAGATGATTGACAGATGCACTGTGCCAATTCGCTGCGTTTTGGTTGCCCAGCGCTCTGCTCCTCCGTTGTTGGAGGGCGACTACCTCCAACTGCCCACTAGCGTCCTTCATGAGCCTCCTCCACACAAAGACGAATCTTGACATTGAAGATACCTATCATTGACAAGCTCCATATCCTCCTGTACCTGATCAGCCCAGCTCTTCTCTTGCCAATGCACTGCACATTTAGCCATTTCTATTCAACCAAACAGAAGATTTTGATTATGTGGTGGCTGAGCATGAGGGCTACATCCTGGAACTCGCAGCTTCCCAAACCTCGTTGGCAAACTCCCACGCCTCCTTCATCCTTTTATTCAGAAAAAGAGCCACTCCTTGTTGTTTGACAGTGCCCTGCCGCGAGTGGAGGACTGTCCACCCCTCGTAGTAAATGGAGGCAGAACCGGTCTACTGGGCCTCCTATATTTCAGAGCTTTAGTCGGTACCCGTCGAGATCCTGATAGAGGAATGGCAGCCTCTCCTCCACAGTGAGTGTTCAGCCATGTCACATGGCAGCCACAGTGGTTTCCTGCTGTTTCTCGAAGAACACTGAGGGGAGGGGACCACCCTCCTGACAGGGTGTGGCACGCACACACACACACACGTATATATATATACATACACCTGTACTTGAACTCACATTATAACAGCTGCACATGCTCAAACCATGTTCTCAGAAATTAACCACATAAAAGATCATGCAAGAACTATAAAATAAAAATGTATATTCGATAAACTAGAATGACAAAAAAATATATTCTATGCCACATCAAACAGTCGTCAATGATAAGCCCCGAGTATTTGAGTCCATGTTTAACTATTACATTTCGGCCAAAAGGAATAATCTCCTGCCTTCTAATTTCTGGGGTTATTAGTAATTATAATAAATGTTGTATTATACAATACATATTAGAGCCACATGCTGATTATTACATGAATTGCACGACCGTCCCATTGCAGTTACGCAAATACATCTGCAAAGGACCACAACGATGCGTCATCAATACTCCCAGCAACGGCGGTGGGGCCAAAGAGAAAAGCCCAAAGTACAAGGGCCATTACAATTCCACAAGGCACGCTCAGACTGCTTCATTACATTTTGCTTTCTTCATTTATTTATGTATTACTGTACCTATAAACCAATCAATGACATTTGGCTGTAAAGAACACACACTTTGCAAATGCACTGTGCCTAAAAAGGTTTATGTTACCTTGTAACAAAACACATTTGCAGTGCACGGAAACGTTTCCAATTGGAGAGATCCACAAGAAATGAATGGTTGTCGGTGTCTTGTAATAATTTGACCAACTATGTAATAACTGACTATTATGCCTCGTGAAATCAACGAATTCCCATTGTTTCCATGTTGTACAAGGTAGAAGCGAAGTGCCTAAAAATAAAACTTAAATTTGCCACTGTGGTTCAAATAAGTGCGCAGCCAAAACCTGCAGCAGTTGACTTCCCGATTAATTCATGTCCAGAGATGCCTTATGTTTACCCACGGTAGTCTCAAGACTACTGTCTTTGACTAGAGTCCAAATCATCAATTTTAACGTAATTAATTTCATTGCGCTTACTGCCAGTTAAATAAAAAGGGCAATTTCCTTAAAAACGTAAAGTGTGGTGGCAGAGTGAACAAAAAAAAGGAGGCTAGGGCTGAGGGTGTGCAAGAGAATTGAAACACGCTGCTGTAGAGAAACACGTAGTCTCGGTAGTAACGGCTGCCAAATGCTTTCGCTCGTTCTGCTGAGAGCTTTTCGCGGCGCGTGCTAATTTCGCACCATTGCGGGAAAAAAGGCAACTCGCGGCCGATTACGTAACACTGAATGAATTATTTTTGTACAAAATCATATGACCGCGTTTTCTGCTGCATTGTAAAAAGAAAAGCAAAACATCAACTCGATTTTTAAAGCAGGTTATACGGAGAAAAGGGCGAATGTTTACGTGTCACTTAATTAAAAACAGACCTGGTTTTTCTCCTGCACAGAAAACCTGTACTTGATTACCGTGAGTTTCTGTTACACGAGATGAAGTGTACAGCGACAAGTGCTCTTGTTCTCTTGTTCAACATGCGTAAGTGGCAATCCCCCTTGCACCAACAATTACTGCAGCCGTACTTAGCCATGCATTTCATGCACTGTCCTGCAAGTGATAAAGAGCTCCGCGTGCAAGGGAAAGGTTGACAGCTTGTCACAATTACATTTGCAACTCCAGAGACGTTTTTTTAAAGAGTTTTTGATTTTGTGGCCTGAAAGAGGTTTCATTTTTCGAAGGTGGTGTAATTTTAAACCCGTGCTTCTTCACATAGCTCCCCCCCGTCCCCTCGCCCCCCAACCCTGTCCCCCCACCACCCCGCTCAGCCTTACCCTACATCTCTGCCTGCACCCCTCCAGCTCCCACCCCCTCCCTTTATAGGGTCCACACAAACCCTACCCAATCCCTCTGCCAGCTTCTGGAGGAGTCACGTTTCAGTGGCAAGAGACAGCAGCAATTTGGACTATAATGGACAAGTGAAAGGCTCTCCCCGACACCTCCGGAAGGAACTCAGCAGGAAACATTAGACGCAATCAAACATGGGCGAGGCAGCGTACGGTCTTGGGAGCGCCGGCAGTTGCGAACATTTGTACAGGCCACTGAAAAAGCGACAAGGGGAGCATGGGAATGCCGTCTAGCTTACCTTCACGGAAAATCTTTACAGTTGCTTTTTTGCGCAATAAAATACAGCGTTAACAAACTGAGTCACAGCAGAAACGAAACGGCACGTGGTTCAGTACGCGTTTTCGTCTTAAAGATAAGCATACGATTACCCCTCCACAAGCAGGGACGTAGAGGTCATGCAGAGAGGGCGTGCGTTTATTATACCTGCAAGAACTGCGTGAACTCGGAGTAGATGAGGCGCCTGGTGCGGTCGTGGCCAAAGTGCTGCCGGATGAAGTCGCAGTCCCAGTTGAAGGAAATCTGGTGATGGATGTCGGTCTGGCTGAACACCTCCTTCACCCCGTCTGCCAGACACAACCAACATTTACAAAACGCTGAATTATCGCCTTCCAAAAGAAGAAGAAGAAAAAAAAAAGTTACATTTCATAAATAATTTCCAGCTTCTTGCATGTTTATGTCACAGCACACTCGCCAGTCTCATGTCAATAGTATTGTATCCGCATTGTCATTTTGTCAAGGATAAATTACACTAATTATACTAATGACTAAATTGCCACTGCCCATGTCTGTAACTAATTGTATTAAGTGCGCAAATGAATACATAAAATGAAATGTTAGGGTATGTCAGTATGAATATCTCGGCCTGTAATGAGCTTCTACACGGAGCCCTGAGAGGGCCTTGCCGACACGCTACCCACTGCTCATCAGCCCAGAGCGTCACAGATTTAAACCCATCCACTGCACACAATCAGGAGCAAATACTATTAAACAGCGGTTACATGAAGCAACTCGCGAAAGTACCGTTTCAGTAATTAACTAGCAACGAGGATGCAGGACACACGAGAGACCTTATTGCTCGGGGTCGTGGGTCCAAAAATAAAATTCCCCGATGCAATGCCTTATTGTGTTCAACAATGTTGATGTTTTTCTGCTTTACACGAACCAGTCTTGAATTATAATTTAGGCAGAAACACCCTGAGGGTTAGATCTCTGCCGTGTTTGTCATCGACTTTATGTACATCGCAAGGTGAAATGAGTCCCAAGACCAGCTGGCAGGAGGGCAGTAAAGTCTGCAGGACGAGCCCTATAAATACAGTAGCTGCACTATACTGGATCCTCAACCCACCCAGGCCCACCACCGCAAGTGAAATACCCGCTCGTCCTTTATAAGGAGGAGAACCTTGGTTAAAGGAGGGTGAAAGATTGAGTTGGCAGTGTAATCGGGTTTGATGCGACCGAGAGAAGGGATGGATTACTGACAAGCACACAAAGGTCACTTTTTTCTCTCCCACTGGAACCCTTTAAATGGAGAAAAAGTTCCCCTGGCGGAAATGTGGAAATTGACATGTCAAACGCGTCAATCCAATTAATATTCAGAAAATGCTATTGGTGGCAGAAACAAAAGGTACACATATTAGCTGCACATCTGACAGGCCGCAAATGCCAGTTCCATAAAAAATGCATTCTATGACACAAGAATTAGTATAAAAATCTTCAACTATTTTTGCACTCGCTACGTTGACAATTTCTAATTATTTTAACAGACTACATTAATTGTTCACATGACCCACGGCGCAACAACAAAACCATTTAAAGCCAAAAAAGCATTTGGCCGACACTTTAATTTACTTTCTTGTAAACATCTCCGTCCAACGAGCTGCGTTTCCTGCACACGGACAGAGCAGATGACCAGGAAGGCAGCGAGAAAAAGGTCGAGGGTGCTGACCGGGAAGGGCAAGGGTGCCGTGCCCTGCCGTTTAGTCCCCATTAGAAACGCTTAACGGGACACTCACCGAAGGTGACCTCGCCTTTGCCCTGCTTGTCAAAGAGCTGGAAGGCCACCATGAAGAGGGCGTCGGGGGCGCACAGCACCGACTCAAACGCCACAAACTCCTGGAAGGAGATGAGCCTGAGGCCACGCGCGGGGCAGGGCGCGGGATCGATATTACAGGGACAGGGGCGGGGCGGGTCACGAAATGTTGCGATAAGGAACATGCCCGCGAGCAAGACAACTGCATTCGTGGTTTCCGTGCAATATGGAAACGCAAGGGCAGTGCGCCGTTGTAGCTATTCGGTTACTCACTTAATTTGATTGTAACGCGCAATACAGTGCCCTTTTTTTTTCACTCCGGAAGAAATATTACGACCGTAGCAGCGAGTCATTCGTGCCGATCAATACGCGGCACAAACCAAAAAAACACGTCGCAGAATTGCGAGACTTGCTTTTTTAACGGAATGAAACACGGCGCCGGGCGATTGAAATAAGTCACAGATGCGGCAGCTCAACTCACCCATCTTTGCTGGTGTCGGCTACGCCAGCGAGCGTGATCACAGCGCGCGGATTGTGGTTGGGTTGGCGGAGCAGGCCCAGGAAGTGTTGCACAAAGTCGGCTGGAGCCATGAAGCGATCTCCATTGTGCTCGACACTCGCGTACTGCACTCACACGGAGGGTGTGAGAGAATGCTGAAGGCAACGAGCTACGGGCCCGGAATGAGTGACGAACAAGAGAACGGACAATTTTATTGCAGCAAAATATTCCGGACCGGCACTCCAGATAAGCTGCCTGGTGGGAATTTATGCATAAAAAATTAATCTATATAACCATTGCATTCAAGTTTAACGCGTAATTATACGCAGAGCAGTTTTGCTGCAAGATTGAGTTAGCATGGCAGAAAAAAACAAATGTGTGTGCTGTGAAAGAGCGGTCACATGATCGTAATGCACCGTGAATGGGCGTTCGATAATTTGTACTGCTATAGAGTTTGTATTTTTTGTTTGTATTAATTTTTAAATTATAAAAATTCAAAGACTCTCTTTGAGAAACTTTGTTGTGGTTTTTCTTTCCTGTCCTTTGAACTGTAGCCTTTTTTATTGTAAGATAAGTTTTTGTACAGTACCTCAAACTAACAATGCAGTTAAAATATTAAGGCTATAGCTAATGCATACACCCCGATATAGCATTTACAATTGTAAAGTAATTTTGGAAATCCCTCATGAGTCAAAGGATAATTTTGCATTTTACCCATGTAAATAAATATAACTCGGTGTCAAAATTGAAGGATGAATGCTTTCAAGACCCAAAACCGTATATACGGAGTACTGGGTGGGAATGAAGCTTGCTGCAAAATAAGGCTTAAACAGTGTGACACTGAAAATCATATTGTCAAATGTAAAACTAATATATATATACACATTTCAAAATACCTACAATTTTGAAACCCTGAAAAATGTGGAGCAGTTTTGTGACGCCAAGTCGAACACCCAAAACATACGATACCAGATACCAGCATTCATTCTGTTCAGTTGTCATCACGTACTGTAACCTTTCATGCGATATGAACGCGTGTCAAAGTTTACGTAACGAGACAATGTCAAAGTACAGTGTGTAAACATCACATCAGTTTGCTATAAACAATGTATGCCGGCACGTTTAACACACGCGTCTCCAAACAGCCCAACGGCCGCTGGTCAACAGGCTCAATAACCGCTGGTGAAAATTAGATTAAATCACAGAAAAATGTGGCACTTTAATTCATGGCATACGCCGGAGCACGTTTTGCTCGGAAGCAGCAGACTGCGGCAGAGGTCAGCGAGAATGGAGGCGTAGATACACGCTCCACTTCCAGCCAAACCAAGCCATTATCAGTCAAATGCTTCCTCATGCATCTTGGCCGTGTTTACTTCTGTAGTTACGGCCGGTAATAAAAACAAACGATAATCAAGGGCATAGCTCGTTCCTGCCTTGTGTACAAACCAAACAGACAGGTTCCATAGCCAACAACACAACAATAAGTTTAACTATTTGGCATTGTTTACAGTCTTTTGACCTCCACCAGATAAGAGGGAATTTGATAAGTGTTGCACTCCATGAACCGATGACAAGAGAACAAAAACATTCACTGTTTGACACGTAAATAACTTGACTTGATATCAGACCTCAAGAGACAACTGACACTACTACTACGCGGGTTTTCACAATTGCACTGTACAGCTGCGATGTTTTCGGGTTGCCAAAGCATGATGTTCGGCACGAAGCTTGACGTTTCACTCCATGTGCTTGTTCAGGAACATCGTGAAAGTAAACACACAGTACAGCCTGCAAACACGTCAAATGTCAAGTTGGCCGCAAATTACAAATGGACATATCTTAAGCACCAATGCCTTACATTTTAGAATGGTCGCAGCATTGCCATACCTTATTAAACACGGCTTTAAGCTCAGCTGCATCCGCTCGCTTCGTGACGGAAATCTGTAATACAACACCATCATTGACATTGGCAATAGCATTGACAAAACGGCATGTGACAAAGCACATGACGGCAGAAGTGAATTGTATTTCAGAAATATTACTTCATTTCTCATTTAGCGAGATGAAATCAATTCACACACGCACAGTCAAACACATCGTTGCAGTATCTGAAGCATAATAACAATGAAAGGCAAAGTAATATTTAAAGTTTGACTAGCAGCAGCGGTGAATAATCTAAATCACTTGAGATTTTTAAGGAGTAACTTACAGGCAAATGATTCACTGATACATGCAATCATTGTCAATGGCAATCGTTCTTTATTTGACAAGGCCCGCTGAAATTGGTAAACTAATTGTCACATTGGCTCAGGACACATTATTTTGATTCATGACTCACAGGCCAGGTCTCCCCCTTACCCATGAGCAGATGAATTGTGTAGTGTGCAGTATGTGCATCAGTAACAGGCGAACCTTCCATACACTCTTCACTCAGGACAATGAATTCACACTGGCATCCCAGATTCAACACTTTGACAGATGAATTGTGTAGTGTGCAGTATGTGCATCAGTAACAGGCGAACCTTCCATACACTCTTCACTCAGGACAATGAATTCACACTGGCATCCCAGATTCAACACTTTGACAGATGAATTGTGTAGTGTGCAGTATGTGCATCAGTAACAGGCGAACCTTCCATACACTCTTCAGTCAGGACAATTAATTCACACTGGCATTCCAGATTCAACACTTTGACAGATGAATTGTGTAGTGTGCAGTATGTGCATCAGTAACAGGCGAACCTTCCATACACTCTTCAGTCAGGACAATGAATCCACACTGGCATCACACATTCAACACTTTGACAATTCCACATTCAAAGAAACCCATCTCAGTGGGTTTTCAAACAAGGGTCGAAGTACACATGGGCACACCGCAGTGAGCCCATCGGCAGGTCGCGTATGTGATGGGGTCAAAGGAAGAGTAGGCCGAATACCCTGTGGCAGGGCTCTCTAAAGCTCCTTCCCGTGGAGACACGACCACAAGCAGCGGCATGAGAAAGTAATTTGAATGTCTGCACCGATGTATTTTTTGTTATGTTATATACTGTAAACCAATGCCATAGTGCAATGTCAGTCTTGTCAATGTACACACAAAAGCTACACGGGAGTACGGTGAACTTTAAGTGCTCTCCGCACACTTTGTGTCAATGAACTTCTGGCAGGCAGAGGTTACTATACAGTTCTACATATAAACCAGCTGCAGGGAGGTCTGCTTAGATTGCATAACACACTTACGGAATGATGACAGTCATAATGTTGGCAAGTTCGCCGAAACAATAATTTGTCGACGTGCAAAAAACGTGCGGTGACCTTTTACAAACTTTATTCCAACCGTTTTAAAACTACCCAGAATTTGCCGTTTGCAAGATTTGACCAAGGAACTTTCAAATTATTGCCACGACATTTTACAATGTAATCTCTCACAAGCATCATTACACGTCCTATTATAAACAATTCAGCAGGTAATCTTTAGTTATTCCATTAATCCTCACCAGCAGGGTCCTGCATTTACAGTTTGGCGAATAACTTCCTTATTAATCTTACGGATATGAATTCGGCAGGGACCCAGAGGAGAAGAGTTAATATATTATCCGGATTATAGGACGAACACTTTCCCCTCAAGGAAAAAGTTGGGGGGGGGGGGGGGGAGTGCGTCTTGTAATCCGTATGGGAGACATTTGACATGCGTGTAACCATCCTGACATACAAGACAAAGACCCCCCGTATAGCCTGAACAGACTGTTGGGGCAAGTGCTGTTAGCAAGTAGCACCTATTAAGACCGGCACGGCCAGCACCACACCCGGCCGCCTTTGTCTCCCCCAGCAGCGATGTTTACACACCGCACCAGATACTCATTTGAGGCCGAGTCGACCTTGGGGAGGCCCAGGACCGGTTCAAATAATCGTCACCGATGTTGGCCGTGAGCGGAAATTGAACTCGGGTCGCCGGGTTCGTAGCGCAGCGCGCTGACGCCTGCACCACCGCTCCCCACCTACACCTTGACATGCATCTTGCATGCATCTTACATGCCCCAGATTAAATAGGGAGTTTTATTATATCCCTTACCTACAAGTACTATGCATCATACAGTGTGTATACGAGTGGAGGCCACCTGAAAGCCATCACACACTTACACGCAGCAGGTGTCGTCAACCTACTTGTTACGCTGCCTCCAATACATTAGTTGGTGGCGATGCTTCTCTGCGTTCGCAGTGGGTGCACTGAGCACAATTAGCGAAATAAAAACCACTCAACAAGCTCGTCAACACACAAACGGTGGTTACCTTTATAGAGGTAACAACAACATCGGTGACATTTCGAGAAATGGCTTTTAACTGCACCATCTGTGAACAAGAACTTTATAGCTCATGGAATTTCTCCAGTACAAGTAAATATTCTGATTCTGAATTATGTCCTCTGAAGAAGGGCCATTTCCAGAAACGTCGCCGATTTTGACGTAATGGGGGGGGGGGGGGGGATGTGTGTGGTCGCGGCATGAAAGGGGGCCATTGCCCGAAACGTCGCCGGTTAGATATTTGTTTCTATTAAGACCACGGTGTTGTTGCCGGATGTTGAGTTTTTTTCTATTTGTTAATTATGCCTCCAATGAGAGCCATGTGTGTCGGCGTTTGCGGTGTGTATGGATCGTGACGGCGGCATGCGAGTGTTGAACGTGAACTGTTGGGGTGGAGTGAGTGGAGTGATCGCGGGTAATGAGATGGATGCGTGGTGTGGGTGTGCGAGGCGTCCATACCCGTACCATGATCAAGGCGCGCCCAGCAGCTCGACCGAGTCAATTAGCGGTCAACTGCAGCTTAATTAGTGACCGCGAAGTGGGGGCTTCGTACGACCGCGCGTCTCTGCAGCGATACACAGCGGGAATAAATAACAAATAGACGGCCCGAGGTTGTTGAGTGAAGAAAGTTGCCGTGTCGCTTCCACGTCGCTGCAGTGCTGCTGGGAAACGCCGTGACGGACGTCCCCGGGTCACCAACCCCGCCTCGCCACCAAACTCCGTGTCACCTTGGCCGCCATGTCCGCGCACATGTTACACGGGTGGGGGGGGAAGGCGGGGCCGTGACGTCACACTCAGACGAAATGACGTCATGTAACGCGTGAACTTGCTGCGGCTATGACGTCACGCGGAAAGGTTGCAACCTCCTCCCCCGCCACCCGAACGGGTTGCCGTTGGTCAGGGGTCGGCAACCAAAATAACAAGAAGAGCCATTTCTTTCCAATTCGGTACAAAATTCAGTATTTCAAGAGCCGCAATGCATCTGAGTACATGCTGTACATACGTACATATCGTCAAGAAGCAGCCCGTAAAGAGCCGCATGCGGCTCCGGAGCCGTAGGTTGCCGACCCCTGCCGTTGGTGATTGTTGTTGCTGATGCTGCTGCTGCATTGGCAAAGGGATGTAAACAAGCACGGCCGTCAGAATTAACACCAACACCGTGTCCATGTGTGTAAAGCCTTTAAAATTTATATATAAAATAGACCACGTATCGGGCGATTGTTCGTGGCACTTAGGTCCACAGAGATAGATTGTAAAAATAAGAGTTACGTGTTTTATGTGGCGTGTGATGAACAGTTTTTGTTTATAAATTGGCACGTGAATAATTACCCACAGTCTTCTCCTCCTATTGGTTGATCGCAGCCGGGGTGGGCGTATCTCGAGCGCCACCAACCAATGGGAACGCGGCGGATTTGGATCCGGTAGGCGGGGTGGGGTTAGAGGTCACGGCTCTGTGCGGGCTGCAAACACGTGGGTGAGAAACACGTGCTGAGTGGAGGAGCAGTGGCAGAATTCGTGCGTGTTTGTGTGTGTGGGGAGCGGTGGTGTCGCGGTTAGCGCGCTGCGCTACAAATCTGGCCAGCAGGGTTCTATTCCCGCCCACGGCAAACAGCAGTGACGATGATTTGAACCGGTCTTGGGCCCTCCCCTAGGTCGACTCAGCCTCAAATGAGTATCTGGTGCGGTGCGTAAACATCGCCACTGGGGAGACAAAGGCGGCCGGGCGAGGTGCTGGTCACCCACCCCCTCGTGCCGTGCTGGCCTTCATAGGTGCTCGCTAACAGCACTTGCCCCAACAGTCTGTTCAGGCTAACCGGGGGATATTTTTTTTCCACACCAGCTTTACATGGCCTTAACGTGCACATAGCCTGGCACAAGCGCCGTGGTGACGTCACCTTTGTCATACCAGCTCCGGTTTGACAGCAAAGGTTTCGCTCCGAATTAGTCGGGCGGCATTACAGTATATTTTAATCCGCTGCGTAATGCTATGGCAGCTACCTGGTTTTTCACTCTACACCACGCTTCGGGTTTTTCTCGGCCACAATCATATCCCTCCTTCTCTTTGCTTGTGAAACATGGACCCCTCCAATGGAGCATTTGCGCCGGTTGGCTGGCCTGCCTACGATCTCGTCCTGGGTTTAACCAGCACGCTGGGTTGTTTGAGGAGCTCACAAATCCTTGAAAGATTTGGACACATTCCCATCAGTGAGCTCCTCCGGTAGGCAAGGCTGCATTGGTTGGATCATGTAGCCCGCATGCCCAACCATCGCATTCCAAAGCAGCTTCTCTTTGGCCTGATAGAGGGGACTAAACGGACACGACACGGGCTGGAGAAGAGATGGAGTTATGCGGTACGGGAGGATGTGGAACTCAGTGGACTTGCCGAAGACGGTGTCAAGATCGGCCTCTGGAAGAGGCTCGTGAAGGACGCTGCTACTGGTCAGTTGGAGGCAGTCGCCCTCCAATAACAACGGAGAGCAAAGGAGCGACGGTCACAACAACGAGCGCAGTACCGGGCTTATAAAATATAGCAAGTTGGCACAGTAGGGGGCACAGCTGATGCATCTGCCAGTCATCTCAGTCAGCCAACTCATTGCACCTGGGTCTGTCCCGTGACAAGTCAGCGAGCCTTCGACACTTCACGTGGTCTCAAAGTGCACCTGGCCTGGCACATGCGCCGTGTTGACGTCACCGTCACTTAGTGGCGAATGAGGGGTATTAGTGTCATACCTCAGAGTGTGTGTGTGTGTGGGAGGGTGTAGCGTAGCGACACTTCACGTGGCCTCAAGGTGCACATAGCCTGGCATGAGCGTCGTGGTGACGTCACCGCCACTTAGTGGTTGTTGTTGTTGTTGTAGCAGTCAGCTGCGCTACGAACCCGGCCAACCGCGTTCTATTCCCGCTTACGACCATTATCTGAGCCGGTCCTGGGCCTCCCCTAGGTCGACTCAGCCTCAAATGAATACCTGGTGTATGGTGTGCAAAAATTGTCACTGGGGAGAGAAAGGCGGTCGGACGTGGTGTTTGCCACCCACCTTTTCGTGTGCCATGCCGGCCTTCATAGGTGCTCGCTAGCAGAACTTGTCCCAACAGTCTGTTAAGGCCATACTGGGGACCTTTTTCATACCTCAACGTGTTATTTAATTATTATTTTTCATGTGTTTGTCCTTAATCGTACATTTTATTCAGGTGCAACAAAATAATTTAGGGCACAATTATGCCTTGCGGAGAATGTGTGTTTCAAAATATATGGGCAGATAATACACCTCGAATATATTATTTGTTCACGTAAAAAAAGTATTTACTTCAAGGAGTCATGTTTGCATAGACCGCAATACCTGCAGTCAATAATACAAACAAAAGAACATAACTCTGATATTGTGCACTGTCCTTGAAGTTGATTGGTCCACACCCGAGACAGCTTTCCTTCGAGCCTAGTCTCATATGGGTTGGACCAGATGACGCCAAAAGGCGCACAACTCAAGGACAATGCACCATCAGAGTATGAGAGCTCGGGGCAAGCATCTACACTATGGGGACCTCATTTGCCAGTAAAAATATGATAATCGGTTCTTTACCCTTCTATCTGGCAACAAAACTGACACCTTTTTGCAAGGAGTCATGTTTGCATAGACCGCAATACCTGCAGTCAATAATACAAACAAAAGAACATAACTCTGATATTGTGCACTGTCCTTGAAGTTGATTGGTCCACACCCGAGACAGCTTTCCTTCGAGCCTAGTCTCATATGGGTTGGACCAGATGACGCCAAAAGGCGCACAACTCAAGGACAATGCACCATCAGAGTATGAGAGCTCGGGGCAAGCATCTACACTATGGGGACCTCATTTGCCAGTAAAAATATGATAATCGGTTCTTTACCCTTCTATCTGGCAACAAAACTGACACCTTTTTGCAAGGAGTCATGTTTGCATAGACCGCAATACCTGCAGTCAATAATATAAACAAAAGAACATAACTCTGATATTGTGCACTGTCCTTGAAGTTGATTGGTCCACACCCGAGACAGCTTTCCTTCGAGCCTAGTCTCATATGGGTTGGACCAGATGACGCCAAAAGGCGCACAACTCAAGGACAATGCACCATCAGAGTATGAGAGCTCGGGGCAAGCATCTACACTATGGGGACCTCATTTGCCAGTAAAAATATGATAATCGGTTCTTTACCCTTCTATCTGGCAACAAAACTGACACCTTTTTGCAAGGAGTCATGTTTGCATAGACCGCAATACCTGCAGTCAATAATACAAACAAAAGAACATAACTCTGATATTGTGCACTGTCCTTGAAGTTGATTGGTCCACACCCGAGACAGCTTTCCTTCGAGCCTAGTCTCATATGGGTTGGACCAGATGACGCCAAAAGGCGCACAACTCAAGGACAATGCACCATCAGAGTATGAGAGCTCGGGGCAAGCATCTACACTATGGGGACCTCATTTGCCAGTAAAAATATGATAATCGGTTCTTTACCCTTCTATCTGGCAACAAAACTGACACCTTTTTGCAAGGAGTCATGTTTGCATAGACCGCAATACCTGCAGTCAATAATATAAACAAAAGAACATAACTCTGATATTGTGCACTGTCCTTGAAGTTGATTGGTCCACACCCGAGACAGCTTTCCTTCGAGCCTAGTCTCATATGGGTTGGACCAGATGACGCCAAAAGGCGCACAACTCAAGGACAATGCACCATCAGAGTATGAGAGCTCGGGGCAAGCATCTACACTATGGGGACCTCATTTGCCAGTAAAAATATGATAATCGGTTCTTTACCCTTCTATCTGGCAACAAAACTGACACCTTTTTGCAAGGAGTCATGTTTGCATAGACCGCAATACCTGCAGTCAATAATACAAACAAAAGAACATAACTCTGATATTGTGCACTGTCCTTGAAGTTGATTGGTCCACACCCGAGACAGCTTTCCTTCGAGCCTAGTCTCATATGGGTTGGACCAGATGACGCCAAAAGGCGCACAACTCAAGGACAATGCACCATCAGAGTATGAGAGCTCGGGGCAAGCATCTACACTATGGGGACCTCATTTGCCAGTAAAAATATGATAATCGGTTCTTTACCCTTCTATCTGGCAACAAAACTGACACCTTTTTGCAAGGAGTCATGTTTGCATAGACCGCAATACCTGCAGTCAATAATACAAACAAAAGAACATAACTCTGATATTGTGCACTGTCCTTGAAGTTGATTGGTCCACACCCGAGACAGCTTTCCTTCGAGCCTAGTCTCATATGGGTTGGACCAGATGACGCCAAAAGGCGCACAACTCAAGGACAATGCACCATCAGAGTATGAGAGCTCGGGGCAAGCATCTACACTATGGGGACCTCATTTGCCAGTAAAAATATGATAATCGGTTCTTTACCCTTCTATCTGGCAACAAAACTGACACCTTTATCATATTTTTACTGGCAAATGAGGTCCCCATAGTGTAGATGCTTGCCCCGAGCTCTCATACTCTGATGGTGCATTGTCCTTGAGTTGTGCGCCTTTTGGCGTCATCTGGTCCAACCCATATGAGACTAGGCTCGAAGGAAAGCTGTCTCGGGTGTGGACCAATCAACTTCAAGGACAGTGCACAATATCAGAGTTATGTTCTTTTGTTTGTATTATTGACTGCAGGTATTGCGGTCTATGCAAACATGACTCCTTGCAAAAAGGTGTCAGTTTTGTTGCCAGATAGAAGGGTAAAGAACCGATTATCATATTTTTACTGGCAAATGAGGTCCCCATAGTATTTACTTCAAGTCAACCACGAGGCCTCTTGGGAGTGCATTAATTAAGCAACATTGGTTCAACACAATAATACTCGAGGCGCACAGCATCTCATGAGTTTTCCGGCTTGCATGAAGCAATTCTGTTGAGCTGCCAGATGTAGTTGCGTCAAACTAAGATCCATATCTTAATATCCGCGGCACACTGCACCGGCGTGACATTTTTAGAGCGGGTTGAAGGATTAACTACCATGGTGTGCCGCCGATGATATGATCCGCGAGCGAGTGGGTCCCCCCATATCACGGCGGATTATTTTTTTCGCTGCAAATAAGCAGGCAACGCCCTCTAGATTGTCTCAAATGAAATAGTAAAGTATTGGTACACATCCCATTGGCCAGTGCGCCTTTTCAACAGAATTAGTTAAATCTAAGAAAACTGTACCGGTTTCAACATTCAGTGTCTCATGAGCGAAGTTGGGAT